GGAGGAGAGAGAGAGAGAGAGAGAGAGGGGTGAGGGAGAGTGTGTTTGTGCATGTACACACATATAAATGGAGAGAGGGAGAGAGAGAGAGAGGTGAGGGAGAGTGTGTTTGTGCATGTACACACATATAAATGGAGAGAGAGAGAGAGAGAGAGAGAGAGAGAGAGAGAGAGGGGAGGGAGAGAGAGAGAGAGGTGAGGGAGAGTGTGTTTGTGCATGTACACACACATAAATGGAGAGAGAGAGAGAGAGAGAGAGAGAGAGAGAGAGAGAGAGGGAGAGAGAGAGGTGAGGGAGAGTGTGTTTGTGCATGTACACACATATAAAATGGGGGGAGGAGAGAGAGAGAGAGAGAGAGAGAGAGAGAGAGAGAGGTGAGGGAGAGTGTGTTTGTGCATGTACACACACATAAATGGGGGGAGGAGAGAGAGAGAGAGAGAGAGAGAGAGGTGAGGGAGAGTGTGTTTGTGCATGTACACACATATAAATGGAGAGAGAGAGAGAGAGAGAGAGAGAGAGGGGAGAGAGAGAGAGGTGAGGGAGAGTGTGTTTGTGCATGTACACACATATAAATGGAGAGAGAGAGAGAGAGAGAGAGAGAGAGAGAGAAGAGAGAGAGAGAGAGGGAGAGGGAGAGTGTTTGTGCATGTACACACACATAAATGGAGAGAGAGAGAGAGAGAGAGAGAGAGAGAGAGAGAGAGAGAGGAGAGAGAGAGAGAGGTGAGGGAGAGTGTGTTTGTGCATGTACACACATATAAATGGAGAGAGAGAGAGAGAGAGAGAGAGAGAGAGAGAGAGAGAGGTGAGGGAGAGTGTGTTTGTGCATGTACACACATATAAATGGGGGGAGGAGAGAGAGAGAGAGAGAGAGAGAGAGAGAGAGAGAGAGAGAGAGAGAGAGAGAGAGAGAGAGAGAGAGAGAGAATATCAAAGGTACTATAAACTCAGCCTGAAATAAGGAGCCATGTTCACACCAGTGACACATCAGCTATAAGAGTTTAGACTTAAATTATCTTTAGGCCAACTGTCGTTCAAAAAGGAAGGGGGGGGGGGAGAGAGAGAGAGAGAGGCAATATCGCGCCGGCCATCTTTGCTTCCAATGACAGCTGCTGTAACTCATTTAACTCTGAAGTTAGCAGAAAGCCAGCTCAAATATATACAACCCGCCTCGAACCAAAGACCTTCAGCCAGCCAGGCAAGCATCTAGCCACTACACTCTTGGGGCTCTATGCTCTATAACAGAACACAAGTATTCTGCGTGCACAACCTTGTCTGAAAAACGTCAATCCACCAAGGTACATAAGCAATGCAATGTTCTAATATATTTTCAAGAACAGTGTTATGTCCCTTTGTCCACAAAAAAGTAAACAGAAAATTCCAGTCTGTAACATAAGAACACAGGCAGAATTGTTTGTTGTACGTAAGCGAGCGTTTTCTTCTCACCGTGCTGCTCCCTAAAGGTTTCACCCGGAAATAATAAAATAACAATCTGGATGGCAGACCTTTCCATATGCGTTCGGGGGTCCCACATAAGGATGTATATTTAAAAAATTACCCTGTTCCACGCCTTTAGGCATATAGGGCAAACAGGGCTAGACCTCTATTTTATAGATCAATCGGCACAAGATGGATGATGTGGTCTGCATCACGCCGGGTAAAATAATATACCCACTGCAAACTCCACAAGCAGGTCACACGAGTCGACTAGTTAATCGGGTGTTTGCTTCTCAGTTGGACTGCATCTGCCTGCATACAGTCTTGCTTATAGATAAGCTAGATCTGTACAACGGATGTGCACGCAACATCAGGTTCTGGAACAAGACTTATTTCCAGATTGGATGAACAACCAGAACTTTCCACCAGAGTTCACAGCCAATGAATGCGAAGAAGAAGATGATGGAGCAGCAGCAACAGAAGAAGAAGAAGAAGAAGAAGAAGAAGAAGAAGAAGAAGAAGAAGAAGAAGAAGAAGAAGAAGAAGAAGAAGAAGAAGAAGAAGAAGAAGAAGAAGAAGAAGAAGAAGAAGAAGAAGAAGAAGAAGAAAGATGATGATGATTATTATCAACATTACAAACACCATCAAAGCAATATGTGAGCATCAAAGATATCAAAGAAACAATACATCAATACAATATATATGTACAATCAATCAACAATGAACCCACCCATTGGGGTCTAGAAGGTCGTGGACTTTTTCATTATAGATCTCCATGTAGGATACCTCCACCTTGCAGGACAGGCTGGCGGCGGTGACCAGGGCGATCTTCTCGAACAGGGCGTCACACAGTCTGGGGATGATGCCTTTCTGCTCGGGGGTGCCCATCATGGTGTAGGACTTGCCGGAGCCTGGGGGAGACAAGGATAGGGTGAATGTCAGTGGGTGTGTGAGTGGGTTAGACTGGATGGGGTGAGTGAGTGGGTGGGCAATGAGTGGGTGAGGGGTTGGGGCGGGTAAGTGGGGCGGCAACCAGAGAGAGAGAGAGAGAGAGAGAGAGAGAGAGAGAGAGAGAGAGAGAGAGAGAGAGAGAGAGAGAGAATGTGGGTCAGTCAGCCAGTCGGTAAATGAGTAAGTTAGTGACTGAGTGACTGAATGTGAGTGAGTAAGTCAGGTGTGTGAGTGAATCGGTGTGTGAGTGAGTCAGTCAGTCGGTCAGTAAGTCAGTCAGTAAAATGATGGGTGTGTTAGTGTGTGTGAGTAAGTAAGTGAATGAGTGAGTGAGTGAGTGAGTGAGTGAGTGAGTGAGTGAGTGAGTGAGTGAGTGAGTGAGTGAGTGAGTGAGTGAGTGAGTGAGTGAGTGAGTGAGTGAGTGAGTGAAGTGAACTGAGTGAGTGAGTGAGTGAGTGAGTGAGTGAGTGAGTGAGTGAGTGAGTGAGTGAGTGAGTGAGTGAGTGAGTGAGTGAAGTGAGTGAGTGAGTGAGTGAGTGAGTGAGTGAGTGAGTGAGTGAGTGAGGGAGGGAGGGAGGGAGGGAGGGAGGGAGGGAGGGAGGGAGGGAGTGAGTGAGTGAGTGAGTGAGTGAGTGAGTGAGTGAGTGAGTGAGTGAGTGAGTGAGTGAGTGAGTGAGGGAGGGAGGGAGGGAGGGAGGGAGGGAGGGAGGGAGTGAGTGAGTGAGTGAGTGAGTGAGTGAGTGAGTGAGTGAGTGAGTGAGTGAGTGGAGTGAGTGAGTGAGTGAGTGAGTGAGTGAGTGAGTGAGTGAGTGAGTGAGTGAGTGAGTGAGTGAGTGAGTGAGTGAGTGAGTGAGTGAGTGAGTGAGTGAGTGAGTGAGTGAGTGAGTGAGTGAGTGAGCCAGTGTGAAGGATAACGTGAATCGTACAACAACCTAGATTCGTTCATCCTTTTAATACACCCCCCTGTAGGATTAAAATCTCAAGAATGAGAATCAAACAGGCACAAACCTAGGAACCCATTTAACCGTACAGCCAGATAGCACAGTTACACTGGGGCACCACAAACTGGTTATTATGTAACCTGTAGCATCAGTTTGAGCTATTGTAACAATCGAAAACGGTCTAGCTTCCATACCTTTCTGTCAACCGTCCAACGGTCATAATCCAGACATTGCCATGCTTATTTGATTCGCTCAATCCCATCAACAGACTTCTCCACCAACATAAAAACGAAACTATCAAACACAACCACCTCTTCCCATTTTCTCAAAGGAGCTGCGTGGTCTCGATGCATGGTGCTCGCCTCGAGTGCTAGAGATTTCGGGTTCAATCCCCGGTAAGTGCTGAGATTTTTTTTCACGTGCACTTAGTCAATGCGAACGCTTCGTAATGCCAGGGTACCGGGTTCGATCACAGCTGCGGGCCATACGCCTTGCGTTGGTTTCGACAGTGGTATCAGGGAGCCGACTGTCCAGAAGCAATGGCAAACTACTGGACGTAAATTTGCCTAGTAAAACCACAAAAAAGCCAGGGGCTGATGGGGTTGGTTCTGCAACGTCCTGTAAAGGATACGCAACTAACCTTTTAACCTGTGGGTAGGGATACAGGACGCCCGTTTGCATTGTTGCGCACGTAAAAAAAATCCCTTATAGGTGAGGAAATTGAAAAGAGTAGCCTAAAGGCGGTGCTCGGACAAAATCTGGAGTTGAAAGTCTAACTAAAGTATTTCAGGATCCTCGCATGTGCTACAGAGCATGTGCACCGTGCTGAGCTTCTTCGGACTCAGACTTGAGGTAGAAGTAGAACGCAGCACTTTAAGGTTACTACCTGTGGGCCATGATGTTGATCCGTTGTTCAAAACCACAAACCCCATGTGCTCAGTCCCACCTTCTTTCTGGACTAACGCTTCGAGCGCACAAACCACCGTTTCCCTCCCAACCACCAAACTCATTTTACTCAGCAAACACCAGTTAAGCGACACCGCTGGTTACACAACCTGGAGCTCAACCCGCCGACCATGAAGACACACGATGACCACGTTTACCTGTCTGGCCATAGGCAAATATGCAGCCATTATATCCCTCGAAGGCCCTGTCCAGCACTTCTCGTCCCAGGCTGTCAAAGACGCGATCCTGGGCTGTGGAAAAACAAACACAAAAAACGATTACCATCTCGGATTTTTGTATTTCCTAGCAAACATTTACCCATTCGACTCTAGTATCAGCAAATATTTCGGAGTAAATACTCGAAAATGGGTTTCAAACCTGGCCTCGGGCAACATCTCAATGTGGTGCCATTTTAAGTTGATCATAATAATCAATTAGCGAGAAAACAACATGATGCTTTTACTTTCCAGTTAGATAGAAATTACACGGAAAAAATCACACAAGCGCGCGCACTCTCTCTCTCTCTCTCTCTCTCTCTCTCTCTCTCTCTCTCTCTCTCTCTCTCTCTCTCTCTCTCTCTCTCTCTCTCTCTCTCTCTCTCTCTCTCTCTCTCTCTCTGTGTGTGTCTCGCTCTCTCTCTGTCTCTGTCTCTGTCCCTCTCTCTCTCTCTCTCTCTCTCTCTCTCTCTCTCTCTCTCTCTCTCTCTCTCTCTCTCTCTCTCTCCCCCCCCCCTTACTAATCTAGAAGCAATTATCTGTCATGTTTTCATTTCCCAGTTGAAATTTAATTACATATTAATTATACACACACAAAAATGAACGTGTTTCTAACTACCAGTTCATCTGTTTAGAACAAACAGTGGTTCTCAACCGCCTGATGCCGCGACCCTTCAATATAGCTCCTCGTATTGTGGCGACCCCCTAACCATTACATTAATGTCTTTGCTACTTCATAACTTTAGTGAATGTGTGTTTCCGATGGTCTTTGGCAACCCCTGTGAAAAGGTCGTTTAACCCACAAAAGAGTCGCGACCCACCGGTTGAGAACCTCTGCTCTAAGCCATGATGTCAAACTGTCCAATATCTTTTCTCTTGGTCTCCCTATGCCTCTCCTCCCCTCTAAGTTTTTTAAAAATGTCTTCTGTCACTTTATGTTCTTTACTTATTAATTTTTTTTAAGTATAGTTGGCAGTTGAATTCAAAAGAGGAAGAAAATAAGAAAGGAGAAAAAGATTGGTGGAAACGTTTGCCTGCATGTATTAAACCTACGTACGCGTACTGTGATATTTCACTTTAGTGACATCAACTGCTTTCTACCTGACCAATTCACAATAATTCCTTTTTTTTTTTTTTTAAACGTGTTTACTGTCACGATACACTCCAGTTTTCTCCTTCTCATCACATGAGAGTAAGTAAGTGAATTTAACCTCACCAGGACATCAAACAAGCGATAAACACCCGGTGATACAAAGTGTTCAAATGTGGGTGAGGATCACCCGTGGAGAGGTCCCAGGAACCCCGTTTCGCCGTTAGGTTATATTGCAGCCTCTTAGCAACAGCAAGAGTGGGGCTTTAAAAAAAAAAAAACGAAAAATTGCATCCCACACGGGGGAATGACGGTGAAATGTTATCACGTGAGGTAGGTAGGTTGTTGTACCCCATCAGGACATTAAACAAGCGATAAACACCCGGTGACATAAAGTGCCACCATATGGATGACGATCACCCGTGGAGGGGTCCCAGAAACCCCTTTCAGCCGTTAGGCCATATCTATGCCCCGGCTTTATTCAGGGCCCCCGGTAGAAGCCAGGGTGGGGTTTCAAATACAAAACTGCGTTCCACAAGGGGATGACTTTAAAGTATCACATAATCTCTATCTATTTTCCTTTATCCCACCAGGACATCACACAAGCGATAAACACCCGATGACACAAAGTGCTACCATGTGGATGAGGATCACCCGTGGCGACGTCCTAGAAACCGCGTTTAGCCATTAGAGCATATTTATGACCAGGCTATTTTGCGGCCCCTGGCAAGAGCGACAGTGGGGCTTCAAAAGGAAAAATTGCATTCCACAAGAGGATGACTGTGAATGAATGCATACATAATTACACGCATATAAGACTGACTGACCTTCTACCCCACCAGGACATCACACAAGCGATAAACACCCGATGACACAAAGTGCCACCATGTGAATGAGGATCGCCGTGGAGAGGTCCCAGAAACCGCATTCAAACAATTGGCCATATTTATGGCCTGCCTATATTGCGGCCCCTGGCAAAAGCCAGGGTAGAGCTTCAAATAACAAAAAATTACATCTAAATTCTTGGACGTAAGGATTGACCTTTTACACACATATGACTGACTGACTGACTGACTTTCTACCCCACCAGGACATCACACAAGCGATAAACACCCGATGACACAAAGTGCCACCATGCGGATGAGGATCGCCGTGGAGAGGTCCCAGAAACCGCGTTCAGACATTTGGCCATATCTATGGCCTGCCTATATTGCGGCCTCTGGCAAAAGCCAGAGTAGGGCTTCAAATGACAAAAAATTTCGTCCTGAAAAGGACAAAACTAGATATATACACACACATATGAGATTATGTATTAGGTAAATGTTAGCAAATAAACGGACTATAACTGAGCCATTCTTTAATTGCTATAGTAAATATATATTCAGGAATACAAGCATAAGAAGTGTGTAAAGATATTTTACTATGTACTCCGTATATATAAAACGCGACAAAACATACATACTAAACATTCCCTAAAAACAGGACAACTCTTTCCCCGTAATTCCTTAAAAAGACGAGATTCCAGTCGAATCAATAAAATTATGTCCCCTGTTTCTCACCGCCCCATTAACTCCCCTTGATCATCTATGCATGGATGTTCCAGCTATCAATACATTTACAGTGCCAATGAAAGGAGAACGTCAGAAAGTGTCCGGCACAGATAAGGAAGTCGGGGGGGGGGGGGGGGAGGAATTGACCCCACTATCGACTGAATTACAAATTAGGCGGGCTTTTTCTTAGACCAAGACTAGACAGTAGGCGGCGGAGTTAGGATAGATCTGCTGTCACAATTACTAAAGAACGGGGCGGTCGCGTGTGTGTATACACACTCACACACACACACATATATATATATATATATATATATATATATATATATATATATATATATATATATATATATATATATATATATATATATATATATATAGTGTTTGTACACTCGCAGGTGTGTGTGTGTGTCGGTCGGGGGGGGGGGGGGCGGTGTATAATAATGTGTAGACGTGCTGGTATGTGTGTGTCGAGGGGAAGGGTGTATAATTATGTGTGTACACGAGTGTGTTTGCGTGCAAAAGCGACTTATAAAAGCAACACTAAAACTAAACTCGGGATAAACAAAACACGCGTGACCACAGTTCTCCTCTACGGAGCACAAACTTGGAAAACAGACAGAAAGATAGGATTCATGCTCAGAGGTTTTGAGGAAAGCTTTCTCAGAAGACTGTTGGGGTTCATATAAAAGTTAGTTGCGTATCCTTTACACGACGTTGCAGAACCAACCCCAGCAGTTTAAAACGGCTAAATCTGTATACCAGCGAAGAACAGTAGGCAACAGACAGAAGACTGCCGGTGAAGATAGGGGCGGGGCGCGTATGGAAGTGTTCCGAATGATGTGACGTCGATTCTCAACATTCAATTCAATATTCAACCAAAAGTAGAGTGAGTAACAGTTCTGATAGAACGAACTAATGCAATCACCGACTGCAAAAGCAGATATTCTGGACTAGCCAGTAAATGAATGGATAAGATCACACTTCCTTATCAAGCCTTCACGTGACACCGTGTGTCCTATACAACGCCAGCGTCTTTTCTTCACCTCTTGGTCCACTGGAACTTGCTAGTTCTCTCCCCCAAAGCTCCACATTAGTGATTCTATCATACAATTAACTCACTCTATTCTGCGCAGGCAACAGTTAACGACTGTTTGTAGTTTATTATTAATAGCTTTGGTTGTTCTCCGTGTTTTCAGTACTGCTCGTTTATTCAGCGATGATGGGTGACTTCACGTCACTATTTATTGATGAACGATCTGTGTTCAAAGGATGTTCAAAGGATGTTCAAAGGATGTTCAAAGGCTGTTCAAAGGATGTTCAAAGGATGTTCAAAGGATGTTCAAAGGATGTTCAAAGGCTGTTCAAAGGATGTTCAAAGGATGTTCAAAGGATGTTCAAAGGATGTTCAAAGGCTGTTCAAAGGATGTTCAAAGGATGTTCAAAGGATGTTCAAAGGCTGTTCAAAGGATGTTCAAAGGATGTTCAAAGGATGTTCAAAGGATGTTCAAAGGCTGTTCAAAGGATGTTCAAAGGATGTTCAAAGGATGTTCAAAGGCTGTTCAAAGGATGTTCAAAGGCTGGGTGATCCACTTAACTGCTCCGGATGTGGTCAACTAATCAAATTCTTATGTACTGACGTCAATCACATTCTAATGTACTTCTCTCTCGCTTTCACAGGCTATAAACTCTGACAGAAAGGCCTACTTGTAAACTCTGACAGAAAGGCCTACTTGTAAACTCTGACAGAAAGGCCTACTTGTAAACTCTGACAGAAAGGCCTACTTGTAAACTCTGACAGAAAGGCCTACTTGTAAACTCTGACAGAAAGGCCTACTTGTAAACTCTGACAGAAAGGCCTACTTGTAAACTCTGACAGAAAGGCCTACTTGTAAACTCTGACAGAAAGGCCTACTTGTAAACTCTGACAGAAAGGCCTACTTGTAAACTCTGAAAGAAAGGCCTACTTGTAAACTCTGACAGAAAGGCCTACTTGTAAACTCTGACAGAAAGGCCTACTTGTAAACTCTGACAGAAAGGCCTACTTGTAAACTCTGACAGAAAGGCCTACTTGTAACAGAAAGGCCTACTTGTAAACTCTGACAGAAAGGCCTACTTGTAAAGTCTGACAGAAAGGCCTACTTGTAAAGTCTGGTCTTGTCCAAAACTTGAGCGTTGCGTGAAAACCTGTTCTACAGATCTGGCTTATATGCACGCAGACTGTTGGTACTTCTCTCAGGCAGAAGCATCCAGACTTCGAAAGAAAGACCAAAAACACCCTAATCAGTCATCTTTTACGACGTGCATGTTAGAGGACCAGACAATCTATTCCTTATATTCCAAACTATGGGGCCATGTGGTATGATTAGCGTACAAGTGGGGTGCCAATATCAAGA